TTGGAGAGGTGTGAGGACAGCTGTATGAAATGACACAGCTGAACTCCTTGGAGCACTCAGAGCAGGAGGGAATTGACAAGGAAGGGAGGCCTTTCTCACCGGGGTGGGAAGCAGTCCAGGGAGGGGCGGGAGCTGGGCCACTGGCATGGAGGGGAGGAGACGTTCTCCAGAAAGTGGAAGAGGGTTCGGAGGATGCAGATGAGAGCGGCCTGAAGAGGAGGCCCCGTTTCTCACCTTCAGAGGGGGTGCTGGGAATGGAGGTCGTTTTGTGGAGAGGATGTTTCACTTCGGACATGCTGCCTTTGACGTGACAGAGAACCCTGAGAGCAAATGCCAGCTCCAAAGTTGGAGGGCATAGTGCTCGGGTGAGTGCCCCAACCAGCAGATGTGTGTTCATTTACCTGAGAATGGCGCTGGTGGCTTTGGAAACCAATGCCTTCTCCAGGAGAGAAACTATGTGAGTTGCAGACAAAGGCCCACGGAGAAGAGGCAGAGAAAAGTGAGCCAAGGAAAAATGTCCAGAGGGAAGTGGCAGTGACAGAAGGGAGGACGAGAACAATGATGGCCTCTTTCTGAGGAAGGAAGGTGGCTTGGGACCGCAGGAGGCCCCAGCCTGGCTCACGAGAGCTGCTGTTCTGGGTGGCATAGCTGGGTGTGTGCACTCGCCAAGGTCCAGTTCCCTCGGACTTGTGAAGTCCAGCTGTCAGCTTACACGTTCTGCTAGCACAGACCTAGAGATGTCCTTACATTTGATGTCCTTAAATTTAGCTTCAAAGAGACTGGCTTTGCACAGATGAATGCGAGCATTTCGGAAGGTGGGAGGTGGGCTTGTGGCCCATTACACGGGGCTTCAGGGACAAGGGGCATTAGCTCAGCGTTGAAAGAGCGTGGGCTCGGAGCAGAGGGGAGTCCCTCTGCTGTCCTCCACCGCCGGTCCGTCCCCAAGCCCATTCAGCAAGTGTACCTCCAAGACCAGCCGAAGGTATTATTTTACACGTCTCAGGAAGCCTGCTCCTGCCCTTGAACGCTCTCGTGCCAGTTTGCTTTGGCTTTTAAAATCCCTTAAACTGTAGACCAAACCTTGGATTTTGTAATTATAGCAAAGGCCCTTGAACGTCAGCGCTTGGCGGAGTTCATGCACGGTGGGCGGAGTTCACGCTCGGTGGGCGGAGTTCACGCATCTATGGACCGCGAACCTTGGGTTCCATAATTATAGCATGGGTTTTTGAGCATCAGTGTTTGGTGCGGTTTACGCACCATGGAGGAGTCCGCACCCAAGCACAGTCTTTTTTTTTGGCGGGGAGGGGCTATCTTTGGAGCAAGGTGAGAAAATGAAAAGCCAAGAAAACTACGGGTTAGTTGATTTACAGAAGAGCCTGTGTTAAGTAAGGAACAGAAAGGGGAGATAGGAGTCTTGGCCAGGTTGAAGCAGGCCGGGATATGGGGCAGCAGAGCAGGAGGCAGTTGAGCCAGGGCAGGAGTGGCGTGGGGGCATCGGGGGTCAGAGAGGCTTCGGGTGAAGGCCATCAGGGTCTGCAGGATCTCTGTGTGCATTTTACACGGAGAACTCCACACCCCTTTTCTTCATATGAGATCCTTGGATTTTAATATAGCTTAGATTTAGATATTACTACTTCTAATCATTTCAGACACCTTGACCCAGCTTAATGAAGATCCTTCTCTCCTGGGCCTGTTCTTCATGGAGGCGTTCTGGGGAGCTGGTTCTGTTTCACTGCGCCATTGCCTGTACTGTCTGTCCTGAGCGACGGTACCAATGAGATGATTGCACTGATGGCATTGAAATGACAGCGTTTTGGCCAGGCATGGTGGCTCACGCCTGTAATTCCAGCACTTTGGGAGGCTGAGGCGGGTGGATCACGAGGTCAGGAGTTTGAGACCATCCTGGCTAACACGGTGAAACCCCGTCTCTACTAAAAATACAAAAATTACCCAGGTGTGGTGGCACGTGCCTGTAGTCCCAGCTACTCGGGAGGCTGAGGCAGGAGAATCCCTTGAACCCAGCAGGCAGAGGTTGCAGTGAGCTGAGATCACACCACTGCACTCCAGCCTGGGGACAGAGCAAGACTCTGTCTCAAAAAAAAAGAAATGACAGGGTTTCTTTTGGGGATGAGGGGAGGAACGCATTGCTGGGAGTCGTGTCTCCCAGCCTCCACTGGTGGAATATACAGCGCCATTACAGAAGTGGTCAGTGCAGGATGCAGGGTAGGAATAGAGAGAGGGGAACAGTGTCCAGAAGAGTGTCTCGGTCTCCACTGGAATTAGGGCAAGATACAAGGGCTTCTTAAGACAGAAAGCTCCTGGAATTTAACCATATTTCATGACCAAAGACGGACTTCAGTTGCCATGTCTCCACAGGCTAAAAGTAGCATGATCTTGGAAAATGAATTTAGTGTCTGAGTCATCATTTTCTCAAGTGATAAAAGTATCACTTGTTGCTAATTACATTGTAGATCATGTGTGACACTTAGAGATCTTCAATGGAGAAATCAGAATTAGTTTAGGTTTTTAAATATATGCAAGCCTGACTGCCTCATTACTTTTATGGGAAACCCAGAAACTGAATGAATTAAAAAAAAATAAGGTCAGACAGCAACAGAAACCCATACAAATGAGCTGTTCTCTCGGGACTTCTTCAGGGGCCTGTGTTTAGTTCTTTTTGAGGGAGCTGAGGAAGTGGAGGTGGGATAGTGAAGCGTGGGCATGACTTGGGGTGGGGAGACCCACCAGGTGTCATTGAGGACGCCATTGAGAAAGGAGGCTGACATCAGAGAGGCAGAGAATCGTAGCAGTGTCAGACAGCTCAGGCCACCACGGAGGGACAGCATCCTCCTCCCCATCAGAGGTCAGAGTCTGGGGCTGCAGGGGAAGGGATTTGAGGAGAGGCCATTGCATTTGGGAGAGCAGAGTTTAGCTGGGGACCTTTGGTAATGGTGAGTACTTGTTTATTAATAATTGCCCTGTACGTAGTTGGCTCATTTAATCTCCTTATCCCTACCACATGGGTCCTATTACTGTCCTCAGTTTACAACTGTCCGCAGTGCCCTAGGGTGGCTTGCAGAGGTTGAATAAGGACCCACAGCCAGTGAGGAGTGGAGGCACCAGGCTTTGCCCCAGGCCCTCCTGATTCCAAAGCCAGATCTCTCAAGACCTGGCTGGGAGCTTGATTCTGCAGGAAGAGGGGAGTGAGACCGAAGGTACTAACGCGGGCCCAGGTGGAGAGGCGAAGTCCGGAAAGGCAGACGCTGGGTGGGAAGTTTGGCTGTAAAAGAGGAGAAAACCTGGTGACTCACTCAGGTCACAGGCAAGTGGTTGTTTTTCCAGAAAGGGCAGACTTTTTTTTTTTCTTTAAGAATCAGGACCTTACTCTGTCACCCAGGCTGGAGTACAGGGACATGATCATAGCCCACTGCATCCTCGAACTCCTGGGCTCAAGAGATCCTCCCCCCACCTCAGTCTCCCAAGTATCCGGGACAAGAGGCTTGCACCACCACACCCGGCTAATGCTTTTATTTTTTGTAGAGACAGGATCTTGCTCTGTTGCCCAGGCTGGTCTCGAGCTCCTGGGCTGAAATGATCCTCCAGCCTCCGCCTTCCAAAGTGCTGAGATTCCAGGGTGAGCCACCATGCTTGGCCCAAGAAAGGGCCAACTTCTTACTTAGAACTTGTAAAAGAGAACAGTGCAAGATGCTGGGGAGAAAGGGGTGGAAGCTGGGCCTCGCAGGGATGGGTGTCCTGGGCCTGCCCTTACATCCGACCTTCGGGACATCTGCTAAGCCAGGCAGTGTATGGTTTCTTTAAAAACTGAGCTCCACAGTGAAGGGATGCCTTTGAAGTCATGTTACTAAGGTGGGATTTTGCCAGGTGGGATCAGAAGGGGGAGGTTATTTCCCCTCCTTCCGTTAGTGACTTTTTGAGGATTTAGGGGGGATTGATTCCAAGAAGTGTATAAATAAGCTGATAAGAACACCCACCGTGTTTCAGAGCCGACCACTCGGGACCTTTCCAAGCACAGTTGCATCTACTTGCACGAACCTCTGCTTCCAGTCCTGTGTTCCTTCTGCTCTCCACCCTCTTCTTCCGCTTTGGATTCCTTGGGTGTTGTCATGTGTGGCTTTTGTCTGACCTGATTGCTATCATACAGAGGATGCAAGCTTCCCTTGAGTGCCGACTGGCAGCAGGCACCTCAGGGCTGGCTTTGGCAGAGCCGCTTAGTACCCTCAAAGGGAGTGGCGGGTTCTGATTCACTTGGAAAAAAGCACACGTTAAGAGCTCCAATAAGGGAAAAGAACTTGTTCTCATTTATTTCGTCAGTGTGCACGCGCAGCGTCTTGGGCCGGATGGGATATTCAGCCACCTGAAGGGCATTTATGTAAGGCCATTGCGTGGGGCTGGCCGGCTGGGCTCAGGCCCAGGTTAGGCCCTTGTGCTCAGCCAGCCGTCCAGTGCAGGGCACTCAGGTGGCCACAGGCCGTGGCAAAACTTATCTGCAGGGAAGTCATCCACAACTTCCTCTGGGCTCCTGTTCTTGGGCCAATCATTGAGGCAGAGCTTTTCCTAAGAAATAGTTATGAAAGAGGTGGCATGATTCCTTCCTTAGGAGAAAGCCGGGCATTGATTCTTTGGAGCACGAGGGGGAGAATGTGGAATCCCCGCAGCGCACATTTTGCAGAGACAGCGACGCAGCTCTGCGTAACCCCACAGCTATTGTCTGTAGGTGGAAGCATTTCCTAAAGGCAAGCCAGATGGGCCGGTACCGTGTCCTTGAAGGGAAATAGAAGGAGCTGCATCCCCAGCAGCATACCCTGTGCAGAAATACACTTTCCCACAGGCCAGTTTAAAGAAGCAGGGAATGAATGCGTTCAGCAGCTGAACGTGAGTGACACTAGCATTAAAGAAAGTAGGCAGAGGGTAGAATTTCAGCTAGGTGAAGGGAGGGGAAAGGAAGTGTTCTCAATTCTTTTTTCTTTTCTTCTTCCTAGCAAGAACCAGTTGAGTCACCTCTGGGGCTTAGTAATGGAGTAAGTGATCTTTCTCCTGAGTATGCGGTCCTGGCTTCAGCTATAAAAAATGAAGTGGATAGTACGGTGAACATCATAGGTAAACTGTTTTGACATCTCATTTTTTCTACATACGAGCAGCCCCCCGGGGCCTAAAATTTGTGCAACAGTGAACTTCAAATAACATAGTCAGTGGGAGGAGGTCTTGGAATCATCTGACAATGCAAGTTCCAGCCCCCAGGTTTCCAGGCTGAGAAATGAAGGCTCTTGAGGATCAGATGATTAGATGGGTCAGTCTCAGTGGAAGAAGGCTGGGGTGACCTCCCAGGAGACATGTTAGTTTCCCAGCGGCTCGTGGCTAGAAATCCCAGTCTTTCACTATTTGGTCACATGGACAAAAGAGTATTTATTTAACTTGGGAACCAAGGAGAGGAAAGATTGTCCTCACGAATCCTCCCAGCACCCACTTCCTGGCAGACAGAGAAACTGAGGCACAGAGACATGCTGCTGGAGGGCCCACTCCAATTCAGCAGATACTTTTGAGCACCTTCTGTATATCAGACTCAGTGCGAGGAGCAGGAAATAGTTGGAGGAGGCCCAATTTCTCTTTTCATGGAGGGATACAGATAGTCAACAAAGACACCCACAGATAGCCGCAGCATTACCATTTGTGGTAAATACTGCAAAAGAAAAGAAAGGAGAGAGAAAAATCCAAGGAAACAAATTTAGATTGGAGGTCTCAGAGGAGCAGTGCTTTCCCTCCTTGGTAATAGTTGAACAGCCTCCAGATGTAGCTGGCTGTGCCCACCCCCGAGGAGGGCAGGGTCTTTACACTGAAGATACGTGTAATTCCTTCTCACCTGGGTGGACAGATGCACAGGTGTAGTGCCCAATAGACCTCACCCTGTTTTCCCTTTAAGGGGAAGGAGGAGAAAAAAAAGTCCTGGTTATTTTTACTTTGTTTTAGCATTGTATTTTTGTTGTATGTGTGGTGACTTCTGTTTTGAGGAAACAGAAGAAGCCAGCAACATGCTGACTTGTCCTGACGACTCCGCTGGCCTCTCGCGGGGGTTAGCAGGTAGCAGTGCGATTTTGTGTTGAAACCATCTCCCGGGCAGTGTAGAAAGTTTGCAGGTGCAGACATCCTGTCTGACTGGCTGAGGCAGTGCTCTAGGACCCTGGTGTATTTCTTGATAACAGCCCCACCCTTCAATAAAGCAAAGATTGCTATGAAACCAGACAGAGCAGTCTGTAGTGACTAGGCATATGGCAATTAGGAAGTCATGGCGTTGGGATTTTTGTCTTAATTTTGGCTGCCCGAAGTGCCCCTTATAGGAACAGTGCTTTCCCTCCTTGGTAATAGTTGAACAGCCTCCAGAAGTAGCTGGCCGTGCCCACCCCCGAGGAGGGCAGGGTTTTTACACTGAAGACACGTGTAACTCCTTCTCACTTGGGTGGACAGATGCACAGGTGTAGTGCCCAATAGACCTCACCCTGCTTTCCCTTTAAAACAGGCAAATTGTTTCCAGATTTGCCCGTCTTTATCTACGGTGAAGCTCAAGCAGCTTTTTAAGGCAAGCCTGTCAACCCACGTACCAGTGTGGGATCCCGAAGGCGCAGGAGAGCGGATTCCCAGCTCACAGACCAGCGTTAGGGTCCCCCTGAGGGCCTCCCAGTCAAACGCAAGCTTGGGAGACTCTGGCCCCAGCACTTGCTGTGGTTTCAGGATGGCCAGAGGTGACACAGCTGTGGAACCGGGTCTTCGTCTCTTCCCATATCTTTTGTTTCCCCTTCTTTTTGCCATATTTTCTTGTGCTTCAGATGGACACTTTATTTATAAGATAAAAAGTAGCTCTGGGGCAAGTCTTTAGATGGAGAGCACCCCGTCTTAGGAGATCACTCATGCTGTCAGCCATGCTCCGTGCCTTCTTCCTGGAAGCCGAGCTATTCACCCCTTAGGAGAAGGGACCTGAGACAAGGCGTTCAGTGTTATCCACACCCCTGGAACGCTGTTAGCAAGATGAAACTCCCTGTGAGGTGTGAACTATTACATCGCAATCCTCCCAGACACAGAAGCCATGACAGACTTTATTCTCGGCTCTATTGGACTTGGAGCACCTGGCACTGGGGTGAGACTGTGGGGCTGCTCCTCAGTCACCAAGTGCCAACTGGGAGACCTGGGCAGTGGAGTTGGGCTGCTGTGTTTTCAGCCTTAAGGAGTTTTTGTTTATTCAAGACAGCTGTCATCTTCCTGTGAGGCTGTATGTTATCTCCTTCCCCCGTCCCTTGCTGCCACCACCTCAGTTATATCACCTGTCAGCTCTTCCAGTCTTCCCTCACCATTCTTCTCAAGCCCATCCCCTTCTGTTTCTGATACTGCGTCTGGTCCTGCCGTGGCTGTCACCTGGGCCCTGCTTCCATTCTGCCCTCTCGTGATTCTTCTCACAGAATAAAGAATGCCAGTGTCATCATGTCACCACCGCTCCCGAGAGAAAGACTTGAGTTCCCCCAGGGCCCTGGGTCTGGCGTGACCTGGGCCCTGCCTACCGCTTTCATACCTGTCTTTGAACTTGAATTACTCTGAGCAAGTTAAGCTCCCTATGGCTGCTCGTAGAGACAGTGAGGTTGGTGGTGGGTCTCCTTACTGTGACGCGGCTGCAGAGGCTCTGTCCCCAGGCACGGTGAGGAGGGGACCTGTGGCAGTTCCAGCAGGAAGCGTAGCTCCAGCTCAACACATCTCGTCCACATTTCCACTCCCATAGCGTTGAGATACTGGTGAGCTCTACCGAGTGTACTGGGATACACGCTGTGCTTTCCTTTGTGTGGTGGCCTGAGATGCCGTTTTTCATGGGCTGTGGGGTGCACACTGCCCCGCCCCACTCTCGCCTCCTCCTGTGCTCTGTCACCCTGGTGAGGTGCGTGCAGTCTGCAGTCGGGGGCAGCCTGGTCCGGGCACCTACAGACCTCTGTCTCTGACTCACTGCTCCCACCATGGCTCTCGAGTGCCCAAACCAAATCATGGCTGTATTTTATGCCGAAAGGGCACGAGATTAGAAGTCAAAAGACGTAGGTTCTAGACCTAGTTCTGAAGTTTTTTATTGACCATGTGACTTTGGGGAAACTCCTTAATTTTTTGAAATCAGATTTCTGTATAGATTGGAAATCATATAGAATTATTTATAAAATGGAAATATTTAAAATTTAAAATTATATAGAAAATGGATATTCATACTTTTCCTGCCCATCTCACAGAGTTATTGTGAGGGTCAAATGAAATGTACAGATAAACTTCTCTGGGACTAGAAGGGGGTAAAATGATATGTTATGATTATGATATTACCAAAATCATATTAAAATATATTTGATTAAGAGAAATAGCCTCCATCTGTGCTGTGTCATCAGGGCTGGTGTGAAGTTTAACTACTGAAACTTTCAGATGGGGTCCGGGAAATTTCCCTGTCTGGTGCCCTGCTGATGGCCTGATTTTGTATGCCTGCTAATAAGTTTCATTCTTGACTCTGCAGCTACCTGGGTGACCTTAGCAATTTACCTGACCTCTGGGTTTTAGCTTTTTTCAACCGTAAAATGATAGGACCAAACCACTTCCAAGGACCCCTCTGTTTTTAATAATCTGCCTTTAAGCACTTTCTCTGAGGTGTGGGAGCAAGCTGCTTTCTCAGGTGGAGACCTGCATTAAGTCAACAATTGCTAATAAAGTAAGAATGAACTTTTAAGGAATCAAACCGGTTCATCAGTAACCAGCCATAAATAATATTGTTATAATTCTCAGCAGCTAGATTCAGATAAAATTGCATTCCTGTGGGTGACTCTTTTCAGATGTGCTGACTTTAATAAACTGGATAAAGTTAGTGGATTTCTAGTTCTTCTGTCTGAGAATTTCCCTGGCATGCAACAGAGAACTGTTGAAAAGAAATGTCACTATTAGTTATGAGCCAGAAGACTCACTAAGGTGAGATTCAAAAGTTTTTATCCTGAGAGGGGCTAAGAAAGCCAACAGTAGCTCGGTTTTGACTTCATTAACTCTCTCTGTTAGGGAGACCTTAGTATAAAGAGTTGAAATTTGGAGTCGGGGAAGGCTAACCTTGAATCCCGGTTCTGCTGCTGATTGGCTGTCTGATCTTGAATTGTTGACGTGGTTCTGTCTGGTATGGTTGTTTCAGCATGTCCAGACTGGGGATCACTATTGTGCCTTCCTCATGGGTTGTGAGGTCTTGGGAAGTGGTAGGGAGAGGCAAAGGTGAGTTCTCAGAAAGTTAGGTTTTGTCATTAATATCAGTCAGGGCTCTCCCACAGGAGTGCCACTTCTGACCTTATTTGCTGTAGCAGGTAAGTTTGTTATTCATGTGTCTTTTCAGCTGTCAGGAGTCAGTGCTGCTGTCTGCTTTGTTGCTTGGTGGTTCAGGGAAATCAGTTCACATGGCATGTGAAAGAGAGAGAGAGAGAGAAACAGACAGAGACTGGTTAGCGATAGTGCCGACGCGCATCTAGAGAGCATTTCGGTACTGGGATTTCCCTGCTTCTCTGATGGGCATTCACTCGAGAGTTGGAAAGTTTCTAAAGTACCCACAATGTTTGGATGGAGAGAAGCCATTGTCCTTTACTGAGGCATAAGACAACACACTCCTATGGGGAATTTGGCCTAATAGGTAACATATTAACTTGGTATCCAGATCATTGCCCAGAAAACAAAGACTGACTTTTCCGTCCTGGGCACCTGCATTCAGGGGATACACCTAAAATCTGCATGGACATGCTTATCTGCTTTTCCCCCCAAGTCATGTATATTAAGTGAAATACGGTAAAATTCACCCATTTTTAAGGGGCGAATACAGTTCTATAAATGTTGACAGATGCACTCACTGGTATAATTGCCACCGTACTGAAGACAACGTTTTCATCACCCCGACACGTTTCCTCCCTGGTCCCCAGCCCTAGCACCCACCTGCTGCTGTCTTTATCACTTCCCATAGGTTTCAAGAGTCCACTTGCCAGATGTCTTGATATTTTCTGGAAAACATTAATTGTCACATCCCGTATTTGCAGATTGTCACAAACCCCTGCAGGACTCAACTCTGGCTTCAGTCAGTGAGCCTCGGCAGCTTCACGTGTTCATGTATTCAGTGGAGAGTCCCTGAGCACCTATCTGATGGGTGCTGTGAGCATGTTCATACTTTGGTTGAGGAGAGACGCTGTTGACCCATTCAGAGCTCCTTATGGGTATAGAGAGTCAACCGGCAACACGAGGCCAGAAGTCCAGAAGTGTCCCAAGGTCTCTTCCCATTGTAATTTCAGCTGAGCGATGGGGACAGTGAGTGAGAGGCACCCAAGGGAGAGAGGTTGATCCGTGCTGGGGGGTCAGGAAGGGGCTCCAGAAGGCAGGGGCATCGTGAATGCTGCCTGTTTCTCAAACCCCACCCCCATCCCCCTGCCTCATTGAAGCCTTTGATTCCTCAAACTGGAAAAAACCACTGTACTTCTTCAGCCTCCATCACATGGCCCCTTTCCTTTTCTTTTCTTTCTTTTCATGTGTTCATGGCCTTAAACCTACTCTCTGGATGGTTAGTCGCTGGCCTATAGCCATGAATATGAACTTCTTACACACTGGATTCTTGGCTGCATTGACCTTCGGCTGCTCCTCCTAGCCCTGGGTGGCAAAGTCTGGTGCGGAACAGGTGTTCTATGAATCTTTGTTAGTTGAATAACTGACTTGGGCGTCATGGGGAAAAGCAGTGAGAGAAAGAATTTCTGGTTGGAACAAAGGGATCTAAGTAGGGGGACGCTGGAGCTGCTGGCACCGTTGGTAGCCCCAGCTAGTTGGCTGGCTTTCTATTAGGAGCGACATGCAAAGGAGAGATGGGTTTTCAAGTATTGGAAGTTTAAATGGCTTTGACTTAAATCAAACTTACCTAAGACCTTCATTGCCTTCGTATGCAAGATATCACTGTGCCCTCCCTCCTCAAACACACACCCCCCATTCGGTTTCTACCTCCACCCTGCAGCTGCTTCTTAGGACCTGGGGTAGGGAAGGACATTGTCTCGTTTTCCTGCCGTTTTATTTTACTTGGCGGGAAGAGGCAGAAGAAACTTGAGATGAGGGAGGTCAGTGTCGGTCAGCGTCAGTCTGTGTCCAGTGACCTGCATAATTGATGTCCTCACCCTCAAATAGGATGGTGCAAAGGATGAAATAAACTGGCTTGGGAGCCTGCCGGCCATATATAGCCTGCCTGCCTTTTCTTTAATTTTATCCCCGCCAGGAAAACCTAAACAGGATCCGGTTTCCCTTGCATTCCGTATGCTGTGGCTTTTGGACTCTTGTATCACAACCCCAAATCCCCTTTCTGAGCCTTTTTTGTGCCTTTCCTTTCTTTATTAAGGGACCTATGAATTGCCACTGCCCTCTAGAACCTTCCCTGCGTAGAAACCAGATAATGTGCTTATCGCTCCACAAAAAGCAATTAAAACAGGAACTTGTTTATAAAAAAAAATTCTTCAGAAAATAAAATACTTGGAGTGATTAAAACAGGAGCTTCTCCGTGACGCCTGGCGTCTCAAGGAGACTGGAATGTGGTCCCTTCCTGCTTAACCTGAATACTTTGCTGATTGGTGAGAAAATGACAGGAACATAGAACACCGCACATACTCCAAGCTGTGTGAGTTTGGACAAGTCACTCTCCCTCTCTGTGCCTGAGTTTCTTCATCTTAAACAGGATAACGATACGTTCTCTGTCATTTTTATGGGTTAAGATGTTAAAATAACATATACAGTTATGAGTAAAACGTTGATGATGGTGGCAAAGTGCTTTGAGGACCTTGGTAATTATTTCTTTACCTTTATTTATTGAAGCTAGCTCTCAGGGACATTTCATCCAACCAACAGCCATATGAGGTCAGTTCTGTTTAAAATTAGGGCAGGACCTTAGGGACCTTCAGATTAAAATTGCAGTGAAATATCATTACTTACCTATGAGAATGGCCAAAATAAATAAACAGTGACAACACGAAATGCTGCTGAGGCTGTGAAGAAATTTGATTACTCAGACATTGCTGGTGGGAATGTAGAATGGCACGGTCACTCCGGGAAGCAGTTTGGCAATTTCTTGTAAAATTAAACGTGAAATCATCATATGACTCAGCAATTGCATTCTTGGGCATTTATCCCAGAGAAATGGAAACTTATGTTCATAAACAGCCTGAACACAAATATTCATAGCAGCCTTGTTTGTAATAATCAAATGCTGGTATCAGCCCGGATATCCTTCAGTTAGAGAATAAACACATTGGTATATCCATACTGTGGAATACTACTCAGCAATAGAAAATGAACCAGTGACTGGTACACACAACAACTTGGGTGACTCTGCAGCGAATTATGCTGAGTTAAAAAAAAAAAAAGCCAACCCCGGCCGGGCATGGTGGCTCATTCCTGTAATCCCAGCACTTTGGGAGGCCGAGGCAGGTGGATCATGAGGTTAGGAGATCGAGACCAGCCTGGCCAACATGGTGAAACCCCGTCTCTACTAAAAATACACAAATTAGCTGGATGTGGTGGCGCATGCCTATAATCCCAGCTACTCGGGAGGCTGAGGCTTGAGAATCGCTTAAACCCAGAAGATGGAGGTT